AAAAATCCTCTATGCTGAAGTTTTAAAGTCACCACCACAACGTTATATGATCCATTTCAATGATGACATGCTTGCCCAGAGGTGAAATTTCGACGTAACTGCCTGTTTAATTCACATCAAGCGTGATACAATTTTGCAAACAGCCTAAATGATTTAGCTTCTAATAATAAATAGCACCAAGGCAAAAAGAGATGTAGGAGTTATAAGTCAAAAAGTCTGGTAACCACTGAAAGTTTAATCTTTATTTATAAACTCATTATGCTATAAAAGTTTAATCTGAAAAGTAACTACTAAAGCTATAATCTTTTTGTTCGTTTTAATACTAAACACGTTCCTTTGCAACACATACATTTCTATTTCTTCATTTTGTGACCACAACACCAAGCCCCCCGCTCCGGAAAAGATTTCAGATTTCAGGCACACAAATCTTCTGTGCTCCACATTTCAGGCACAAAATGTTTTCTTGCTTTAACCCCTGTGTTACACCTTTGGTGCAGTATCTTTTGTGAATCAGACCTTGAGATGAAGCAGATAGCAGTTGCCAAGTGATGCATAATTCATGGTGCCATCAGCGGCCGCAATTGAGTCTTCATGAATTTGCTTTTTTGTGTTTTCCTTTGTCTAATATCATTGTTTATTTAACAACTCTGTTTTGAGAGGCCTTCAACAAAGACCATTTCCCATAAGCTTGAGGTCCACTGTGTGCTGAACGTCTGTGCCGGACAAAAGAGACCCCGAGTGAGTTGAGAGGTTGCAGTTAGCTCTAACATGTCTGTAATAACAGCAGGACAGAGACGGGGTTTTTTTTGGACCGCAGAGATGATGGCTAAAACGTTAAAAAGATGACATTAGAGTACTGGTCAAAAGTGAAAGACTTATTTGGATCTTTTACTGACAAATAACAATATCAGATTGTAAAAACACTCTGTCACAAGTAAAAGACCTGCGTTAAAATATTAGTAACCCTTTATTTTACAGTCTGCTAATTACCTGGTTTTAACTAGGAAACAGAATGGTAACAAAATCTAGTTATTAGGAAAGTACCAAAAGACCTGGCTAGTAAGTAAGAAGTTAATAGGTTACTTAGTGAGTACATGGAAACCTACCAGGAAACTAGATGGTAATAAAATCTAGGCATTCATATAGTACCAATAAGAAAAGATAGTAACTACTAAGTTATTACCTCGTGAATAAATAGTAAACCTGCACTTGTGAAGCAGCTTTCTAGTCTTCTGACCACTGAAAGCGCTTTTACACTACGAGTCACATTCACACAGTGGTGACAGAGGCTACCGTACAAGATGCCACCTGCTACTCAGTTGTAGACATTCAATTTGGGGTTCAGTATCTTGCACAAGGACACTTAGACATGTCGAAGGGGATTGAATCGCTGATCCTCCGACTAGTGGACAAACCGGCTCCACCTCCAAGGCCCCAGCTGCCCACATGAAAAAAGTACTAGGATATTAGTTTAAAAAATATTGTTAAGAAAGTACCTTAGCAAGTGCATGAAAATTAGCAACAAAAAGTGCTTAAGATACCAGTAGTACAGTTCATTTCAGTTCGGTATGCATTTTGGTACCAATGGAACTGTTCTGTACCGTCTCCATTTTTGGTCCCCCCTCTGTTGGGGTACCTAGCACACAGATCTGGTACTAAAAGGTGGAGCTGTGAACTCTGCAGTCTGATTGGTCAGTAGAGGACTGTCACTCTGCTCAGGGCTGAGTTGTGTCTGGTTTTGAGGCTCATGTAACCACTGTTCATACTGTGGAGAGCTTCATTAGTGAACTGTAACTATAAAATGAAAGGATGTTTTGCTGCCTCTCACAGCAGCTGGAGTCTGAGAAAAAATAACTTCATTCACTGGGCCTACTGCCAGCGACTTTTAAGGTGGAACGTTTACTTGTTGCATGAGGTGACGACGTGACGCACACCTTATGCCCTCTATACACTGCGATTTTAGCAATCTTATAAGACCATTGCATGACACACTGTGAGACGTGGATCTAATAAACTTTGGTACGACGTCAAGTTTGATGTGTGCAGATTGTACGATGGCCTTCCATGCAGCATCTTTTTTCTCGCGGTCATGATAGCAGCTGGAGGAAACATTAATAAACAAGGCTTCTGCTGCCACAGCTCTACCAAACTTTCCTCTGTCTGGGAGTTCGTTTTTTTGTTCGTTTTACCTCCATGGCAAGCGGTCATTTATTTGGGTTTAGCGCCGGTGACCATTGTGTCATTTCGTGCTGCATTTCTATTGGTTGATTAGAAGACGTAGGTCGTAGCAGCTGTCACACTGTGAGATAGTCATCCTAAATTTCTGACACTGTCAGAATTTTATCTCAGGTTATCTTTGGTCGCAAGATGTTGACAACGGCCGTCCTTGAACCTGTCTCACAGTGCGACGTAAGACCACCGTTTTAGAGCCACGACCAAAGATATCGCCACATTTCTCCCACGATGGCCATCTTTCATCTGGGACAGCCCAAAATCGCACAGTGTATACCGGCTGTTAAATTTCAATAGGACAACTATGACCATTACTTAAGTTGTTTTTTTGTCTCTGTAAGATGGCCTACACCTT